GGCCCAAAGACCATACTATGTAAAGCTTTTGGGCTATTTTGAGCCTTAGGGTTAAAATTGCCCAGATCTCCAGTTACTTAAACAGTAGGTTACTAACCATACCTGTAGCCGAAAAAAAACCTACCTACTTCCTTAAAAAGGTAGGTCTTTTCGGCTCCAGGTATGGTAGATATCTAAATTCTAGGGACGAACCCGGTTTCGGGTTTGCGTGTTTAGGGGTCTGCGGCCATGTTCGAACCCTGTACCTATCAAGGCAACTTGGATTAAGTTTGAAAGCCAGAGGGCTTAATATAGCAAGGACAGCCTAGTTATTGGATATGATGTCCTTACTACGGAAACTTGGGAGTTTCCGAAAATAGGGGACCCCAATGTCGTACCCTAAATAAATAGTCTGGTCCTGATTATAAGGACCCCAAATCACGGTACCCTTAATTATCGGAATCTCCGCAATGAAGCTTCTTAACAAAGCCCCCGCTTTGGATCGACCCGGATCCGGGCCCCAGGGTATGAGACCTGAAGCTTACTTGGAAGGGCAGGGGACTTAGTAAGTAGGTTATAGGTAGAGTTATAAGTACCCTAAATGGAGTTACCCCAATTATAACTCTACTTATAACCTACTTACTAAGTCCCCTGCCCTTCCAAGTGAGGCTGCAGGGTTTAGGCTTGTGGAATCCTGCGGATGCTGTCCTTGAGGCTTTTGCCATTTCGGGTTTACCCTAAGGGTCCAAGTACCCAAATAGTGAGGTTTCAAGGTCCAAAAACCATTCAGAGTATGGATTTTGGGACCTAAAGCCCTACTATTTGGGTACTTGGACCCTCTGGGTGAGGCTTCTGCCATTTCGGGTTTAGGCTTCGGCATCGGCCACGTAACACGCAGACATGGATGAAAACGCAAATGAAGAGGAGTGTCGACTGGCACATAATGTAATGTAGGGGCCTTAATCATTAGAATAGGTTTTGAGGCCCATTATACTATCATTATAATAAGGAACCACCAAAATCGATAGGTAATTAATTATTAAGGCCCCTACAGTACGGTGCGACTCCGGCCTGTTGCCATGCGTGCCACTGGCTGCGTTAACAAGTCGGTTACAGTACGGTGCGGCCGGCATCCCACCCTCTCAACATCTCCGGTGGGCTGCGGAAACGTCATTGCCACCCTCCGTCAAAGAGTGTCCCAAGAAAGCTTTCACCCTAAACCCCCGTTCCGAGGTCCATGTTTCCGGATTGTCCGATACCCAAGTCCTGACCACTTGAAGCCCTGGGGGGCTTTCAAGCGGCTACCCAGGTCCCGAGCGAAGGATCAGGGAATTCATCCCTAAACCCTAAACCCTAAACCAAAAACTTTAAACCCTAAACCCTAAACTCTAAACCCTAAACTCCGAGTTGAGTTGAAGTGGAGGGTTCAGGCCCTGAAACCCTGTCCCGACAAACAGACACTGTTAACACCCAAACCCTAAGTCCTAAACCCTTTTAAGCCCTAAATCATCAGCATTAACTTAAACACTAAGCCCTGAAACCTAGACCATACAGGCCTAAGTCCTACCAGTATAACTTCCGAGCCCGAGGCTTTTCCTTGAGCTGCCTGAGCGTGCTCGATCTGGGAATCATCACCTGCCGCCGAGTAGGGATTCCTTAATATGAACCCTACTATGGGAACCCTAATCCCTACGAAACCCCCATAGGCTAAACCCCCTTTGGCCTCCTATGATCCTACCCTAAATGGCCCATGTTCGAGGCCCTAGGGTTGGGGTCCAGGGTTTAGGTTTAGGGTTTAGGGTTTAGCAAAAAGGGTCCAGGGTTTAGGGTTAGAAAAAAGGGTTCAGGGTTTACGGTTTAGGGTTCAGGGTTTAGGGTTTCGGGCTTTAATTAAATTAAAGGTTCAGGGTTTAGGGCTTAGGGCTTTAATTAAGGGTTTAGGGTTTAGGGTTCAGGGTTTAGGGCTTTAAGGGCTTATAACCCCAGGGCTTCCAGCATACATTTCATTCCTTCTCTGCGGTAAGTATTCCAATAAATGAAAGCCCCTACATGTTAGTCCGACTGGACCCCCTGCCTCTTGTTTGAAAGACCTTTGGGGCCGGCGCTAATACGCATTCCTTGTAGCTGCCTCCAGCTCCCTCATTATGCGTCTAGGCTTATACTACACTTAAAATAAGGAACCCTATAAGGAAGCCCTAAACCCTAAACCCATAAACCCCAAACCCCTAAACCCAATACTAGGAATTATTAACTAGGTGGGGCTTTTAAAGCTTTTGAAAAATATTAGTAAATAAGATCCTCTTAAGCCCAATAAGGGAAAATATAAAATGCCCCAAAGCCCTACCTAGTTAAGGAAGCACTAAACCCTAAACCCCTAAACCCCTAAACCCCAAACCCTAAACCCCTAAACCCTAAACCCAATACTAGTAAATATTAGGGCCCCTATGGTAGGATTGCCGGTCGCGTGGCTCCCAGCGCTTTTTTGCCGCTCCCCAGTGCTGCGGTGGCGGCAGCGGGGATCCGCGAGTGCAGGAGCCAAAGCGTCAAGCATCCAGGGCAATATGGGAAGTTCCGAAAATAGGGCACCCGAATATAGTACCCTACTAAACTATAGGATCCTTGTTATAAGGACCCCGAACTGCGATACCCCTAATTCTCGGAAACTCCAATATGAGAGCTTTCTATCGGGCCTTTCTAGAGCTCCGTAGGGGGTGCGACAAGGGATCTATAATGTTTAGTTTAGTGTTTATAATAATAATAATAAGGCCTGGGCTTTTTGCTAAGGCTTCGGGATCTGCGGGTTCAACACACCCCTAAACCCTAAACCCTGACCCCTAAACCCATAACCCTGACCCCTAAACCCAAGCGTTGAACTACGGGGTCTCGGGTGTATCATCATGGTGCATCCCTGAGCACGGTTTAGGGTTTAGGGTTCCCCAAAGTGTTCGCATCCCTCCCTGGGGTTTGGGGTTTTTTAGGGTTTATATATATTAGGGTTTGGGGTGTAGGGTAAAGGCACAGTCAAGACGAATCGTACTCAAAAACACCTACAGATTAAACAAGCGAGGCCTAGCGCAACCCTAAACTGTAGACCTTCCGCACAAGACTTGAAACTTAAATCCCAGACTGGTGAGTATACTATGCCTTACTAGCAGCTAGCACCCCCCAACTACCTCTATTATACCCTAGATACCCGCCATTGAAGACCACGAGGGCTCTATGAAAGGGTACTTGGTGATGGTGCTGGTAAACCCTACCTGTGACCCCAAACCCTACAAAATAGTAGGTTATGACCTCTTAATCAGAGGGTAGAACCCGTAAAGTTGCAGGTTTTCGGATCCACAGGTAAAGCTTTGCAGAGCAATATGACATCTTCAACGCTGTTGGGAAGATCTCCGAAGGGCAGCGCCGCTGTTCAGCACAACAGCTGCTGCCGCCACATCGAGGATGCTCGATACTTTGGGCGTAGAAGCCTGGGTTCCTGAGTAGCCCCTTTGCAATAAGGTAAAAGCAAGAAAGTTGGAGCAGTATGATTATCCTAACCCTTGTATGGTAAACTATAGGGTATCCTACCACGAAACCATATTCCAACTTTCTGGAGTTCCCTGTAAGGGTACCCTTTAAACCAATTATTCGGTCTTAGTAAGGGGATCTTAAAAGGAAAAGGGCAAAAGGGTACAACTCAGGAACCCAGCAGCTGCTGCTGAAGTTGAGGTTTGGGGTCCCTGAAACCGAATTAAACCTCTAGCCCCAAACCGGATCCTTACCCTTAGGCTGTAAGGACTCAAATTTTAAGCCTTTTTGGGCCCAAAGACCATACTATTTAAGGCTTTTGGGCTATTTTGAGCCTTACAACAACACGAAATGACACAAACAACGCTACTCTGTCAACACTACTCCCTTGCTCAGCTGTGCCTTTTCATCCTTGACAATGCGAGTTTCGTGACCCCCCAAAGCTTCACTTCAGCAGAAACTCACTGGCAATCGGGGCTTGGTGGTCATTCTCTCTTAAGATTCAGCAGTTTAGATTAGAGTTTAATGTAGGTTCGAGGGTTTGGGCTTCGGGTTGAGGGCGTGTATACAACAACGGCACCCTAGAATAGACGCTGAGCGGCGGGAGCTGAGTGGTGCTTGGAGTTTCATGGGACTTAGTAAGTACAGTTATAAGTACCTTAGCTGGGGTTATAACTAGTTATAAGCGTAGTTACCATAATTAAAACCCTAGTTACTAAGTCCCATGAACGTCTAAGTAGGAGCCGTATAGCAAAAACTCACCAATTTCCCGCATTCGAAGCAACCCGCAGAGCCCTTGCAGAAAACTGTTGGAAATACCTATTTCTGTCATGAAACCCAAAACCCCTAATGAGCAAATACAAAACGCCATTACCGTCATAAACTCTCTTAAATTTCCCTGATGCGCTGAAGAAAAGTCGAGATTCTAGACTAAGGGGCATGTAATGTATCAGAGCTTTATACAGTCTTATCTGTAGGATTTACAATGTCAGGGTTTAGTTTGCTTTGTGAGATGTAGTGTTGCGGTCGGTTTAGGCAACCCCCGGGTTCAAGAAACTCTATTGTGTGCGATTGTGTCCTGAAGGCTACTGTGTAGGAATCGTCTGTAAGGCCTATGCACCCTTCTGTCTAAGCAAGGCTCACCTGCATCCCCAAACCCTACAACATAGGAGGCTATGACCCCTTAAGTAAAGGGTCTCACCTCTGAAACAGTAAGCCCAGTAGGGTTTTCGAAGACCAGGCAAAGACTCGGGCTCGCGAACATGACGCCGTGGATCGCGGACCTAAAAGCCATGAAACCTCGTTAAATTCTATAGCTACACCGAAAGAGATCCAAACATTTAAAGTCTAGGACTCTAGGGAAGCTCAGTCTACCTGTGTATTACATATATATGTACACATACACATGTATGTCTACACGTGTTCATATGACAATACAACGATAACCGCGGCCAAACCTCATTGGAATTCGGGGTGGAATGACCACAGAGGCCGTGAATGGCGTTTACTTACTTAGCGGCTCGCATCTGCTTCGTCAGCAAAGGGAGCGCGCGATGGAGGAACTCGTACTGCTCAGCAGTTTGCACCTTGAGAAGGGGCTTGAATTGGAGTTTTCAGGGTTGGGGCGCTTAAGAACTCTGATTGTCACTCTTCGGGTTTAGCCTGAAGCCTGTACAGATATGACTGCTCCGCCCCACAATCATCGCAACCCCTCGCGGGACATTCGGTTGAGCATGTCGGTTTCGAGCTCCTCGTGACTTTGTGACCGGCGCGTCATGCACGTGCGAAAGAATCAGCGGATCGTTGGAGTACCAGCAAAAAGACAGGACATCATCCTGGCTTAGGGTTTTGGGGTCTACGGGTTGCTGGTTTAGGGGTTCAATGATAGTGGGGGGTAATGTAGTGTCTAGCTAGCTTGCTCCTGGTCTCTAGGTCCCTGACCGGGACAAAACTACACTTGCTAAATGCTACCGGTCCTACAGTATGCGCCAAAAAAAAACCAACGCATAAGCATCTGCAAGCAAACTCCGGAGGGCTAAAGGCAGAAAGTCCTCTGCCAATGGACCAATTACACACCAGACCCCTAAAACCCAAACCTAACCCCCAAACCCCAAAACCCAAACCTGTACCACACTAAACCCAGATACCCTTAACATCAAGCCCTAAATCCTATCAACCACAAACTCTGCAGACCCTACCTAAAGCCTCATAAACCCAAATCCCCTTCACTAAACCCTAAATCCATAAAACCCCTGGACCCTAAACTCAAAATCCACCAAAACCTGAAACCCCCCCCCTCACCCCCCACCCCTAACCCTCAAAGCCACCACCCCCCTGAACGTCACTCGGCGGTCGGCCATGTTCATCCGGCACTGACGCAAGTGTCCCATGAGCCTGCACAAAGCCGGGCTCGGACTTCCGCAAAGTGTCCCCCAAGGGTCCGAAGGACCCAATAATTAGGCTTAGGGTTTAGGGTTCCTTTAAGGGCTCCTTTAAGGGGTTTAGGGTTTAGGGTGACCCAATAATTAGGTACTCGGGTTTAGGATAGTAGTTATGTAGGATAGGACTTTGGAGATTAGATGAGTATTAGGTACTTGGACCCTTGGGTGTCTAGCATGCCCAGTAACCTAGGAATACAAAGGGCTCCCTTCTTGGTATTGGGCAACTTAACAAGGAACCTCAGACTACAAAAAGGGTATATGGGTACTACTGGGCATCCTAGATATAATTCAGGATCTACGGTTTAAAGCTTTGGGGTCTAGGGTTTAGGGTTTACGGTTTAGCGTTTAGCGCTTACGGTTCAAACTTTAGGGCTTATAGAGTTTACCGTTTAGAACTTACGGTTTAAGGTTCAAAGTTTATAAGGGTTTAGGGTCAAGGGGTTACGGGTTTGACTTTTGGGTTTAAACCCCAGACCTTAAACCCTCAACCACAAACCCTGTGTAAGATAAGGTCTTAAACTTTGGGAAGGTCCGAGACCGCAAAGTGCGAATCTTGATCCCCTGCGCTTGAAAACGAAGGACGGGATCAATTACATGCTATGTCATGGTTCAGGGTAGAGGTTTAGGGTTTAGGGTTTAGGGGTTCCAAGAAGTTTACTAGAAATTTACTCCTAGATGTGATCCTAAACCAACTCTGGACCTCATGCGTGCCTTGCGTTTCGTCCTTAGTGGAAAGCCACAGGGCACAAACTGTGCCTCCTCACCCAGCTACCCAAGCCCTCTGAGAATTTGCCCTATTCACTGCATCGTACTCCCTAAGGCTCCATGTACCCATATAGTATATACTTCGGCCTTAGAGTACCCCAAAACGGACTCCTTGAAGGCATTAAGTATCCACTATAGAGGTACTGGAACCTTTGAAACTCATCATGGTCGGGTGCTCATGATTAAACTTGCTACCCTGAACAACCTATAGTCTCCATTGTAGCTCCTTTTTGGGGTTACCTTATAGGATCCTTAATATACAGTTGGTTAAACCAAAAAAAAAGGAACTACAATGGAGACTACAGGAACTTTATTAAAAACATGCTGCCGGTGTGTGGTTACCTCAGTCTAAACCATACCTGTATCCCCAAACCCTACAAAATAGTAGGTTATGACCCCTTCATTACAGGGTCTGACCCTTAAAACGGTAGGTTTCTTTTCATGCACAGGTAAGCCCTAAAGGCCGTAAAACCTTAAACCGACGAACTGGCTACCTTAGGAACTATATATAGAAACCATAATAAGTAACCCTAAAAAGTAGGTCTTTTCGGCTACAAGTCTTCAGGGGTAAAACCTTAAAACGACAAACTGGCCTGTCTGGGCTGCAACAGCGGGCCTGCGGCACTTTCGAGAAGGCCGCTACGGGTGGCTTGGGTCTCGGATCCCAAGTGTAGGGTTCAGTAGAGTTTAGGGTTCACTTTAGGGGTTTAGGGTTTAGGGTTCAGCAGAGTTTAGGGTTCGCTTTGGGGGCCTAGGGTTTAGGGTTAGGGTTCAGTAGAGTTCAGGGTTCGCTTTAGGGGTTTAGGGTGTAGGGTTCAGTAGGGTTTAGGGTTCGCTTTACCTGTGGCCCCAAACCCTACAAAATAGCAGGTTATAACCCCTTAGTTAGAGGGTAGAACCCTTAAAACGGTAGGTTTTGGGATCCCCAGGTAGGGTTACACAGGTTGTAGGGTTCGAAGTTTAGGGCGCAGGGTTTGGGCTTCGGAGTGTCGAGGTCGAGATTACATCGCAGTTCAGGGTTCAGAGTTGCGGGCGTGGGGTTGCTATTGTTGTCGCTGTCGCTGCGGTTGTGGATGTGGCTGTGGTTGCGGTTATTGATGCTGATGTTGTTGTTGTGTTGTTGTTGTTGTTGTTGTTGTTGTTGATGTTGTTGTTGTTGTTGTTGTTGTTGTTGTTGTTGTTGTTGTTGTTGTTGTTGTTGTTGTTGTTGTTGTCGCTGTTGCTGATGATGTTGTTACTGTTGTTACTGTTGTTGTCGTTGTCGTCGTCGTCGTCGTCGTCGTCGTCGTGGTTGTTGTTGTTGTTGCTGCTGCTGCTGTCGTTGTTGGTGTTGTTGCTGCCGTTGGTGTTGGTGTTGTTGCTACTGGTGTTGTTGCTGCTGGCGCTGTTGCTGTTGTTGTTATTGTTGTTGCTGTTGTTGTTCATGTTGTCATTGTTATTATTGTCGTTGCTGCTGCTGCTGCTGTTCTTGTTGTTGTTATCCTTGTCGTTGTCGTCGTTGTTGTTGCTGTTGTTGTTGCGGTTGTTGTTGTCATCGTCGTTGTGGTTGTTGTGTTGTTGCTGTTGCTAATGTTGTTGCTGCTGATGCTGTTATCGTCATTGCGGTTGCTGCTGTGTTGTGCTGCTGCCCGTTTCTGTTATCGTCGTTGTCGTCGTTGTCGTTGCTCTAGTTGATGATGCTGCTGCTGGTGTTGTCATTGTTGTGGTGGTTGTTGTTGTTGTTGCTGCTGCTGTTGTTGCTGGTGCTGCGGCTGTTGTTGCTGTTTCTGCTGATTGTGTTGTCGTGGGTTTCGTTATTGATGGTGTTGTCGTTGGTGTTGTTGCGCTCGGTGCGGTCTTTTTTTGTGGTTGGTGGTGGAGTTGGTGGAGTTGTTGTTGTTGTTGTTGCGCTCGGTGCGGTCTTTTTTTGTGGTTGGTGGTGGAGTTGGTGGAGTTGTTGTTGTTGTTGTTGGTGGTGGTGGTGGTGGTGCTGGTGGTGGTGCTGGTGGTGGTGGGTGGCGGTGGGTGGTGGTAGGTGGTGGTGGGTGGTGGTGGGTGGTGGCGGGTGGTGGCGGGTGGTGGCGGGTGGTGGTGCGTGGTGGTGGGTGGTGGTGGGTGGTGGTGGGTGGTGGTGGCGATGGTGCTGTTCATTTTGTGTTGCTGTTGTTGCTGCTGCTCTTGTTATTGCTGTTGCTGTTGAATGTTGTTGTAGTTGTGTTGTTGTTGCCGCCGCTGCTGCTGCTGTTGCTGTTGCTATCGCTGTTGCTGTTGTCGTCGTTGGTGTTGTGGTGGTTGTGGTTGTGGTTGTGGTTGTAGTTGTGGTTGTCGTGTTTGTGGTCGTCGTGGTCGTGGTTTTGCCGATGCCAGTGTCAACTATTTCAACATTCGCATTTGGAGAAAGGGCTTTCATTGCCATGGTAAACCTAGCTGCAGTTGTCAAAGGCTGGGGTGATGCAGCAACCGTTGCATGCAATATCCTCCTTCTGGGACCCCTTCCTTTCGACCCTTGATACAACACCGATCACACGGGCCTACGATATGGGATCCTAAACCCTAAGCCGACCCCAATACCCCAACCCCCCTTGCACAAACACCCGACGCCCCTCTAAATCCTGGGTGAAACCGAGAGCCTTCTAAACATCTGGCATCCGGGATGAACTGAATTTTATCAAGAGGAACATTATTACCTATAGGCTCATACCGTACCCCTTTTTTAAGGTACCTATTTTTCTATATAGGAGATCCTAACCATAAAACTAGGTACCCTAAAAAAGGGGTAGGGTATGACCCTCTAGGTACCTGGTACCCTGTTTCACAACCTAGCAGAGCTTACCAAAAGACCCGGCATCCACCTCGCCACGTATTGCCGCACGGCCACCAGCATCTGCGGCCACGAAGACGCCTGCATTTCAGAGCGTCTGAGAGACTTTCCAGGAGTTCGGTCGGTGATTGGTTGTCGCAGATGGCCTTACGGAAGTGTGCTTAAAGGTGCATGGGCTATAGTTACTATAGATATAAGCCAGGTAACTACACCCCCAGACAACTTATAACTTATAGCTGTACTCGCTAAGCCCCATGAACCACTAGGTAGCCAAGTTGTGAGAAGCAGCAAGCTTGGTTTTCAATCAAATGATTGCGGCCCTTGCAGAATTCGCACTGGGTTTAGGGTTCAGTACTGTCAGGTTTTTGCGCAAGCCGTTAACTGCGATACTCGGAGGATCATGGGACTTAGTAAGTAAGATTATAAGGACCCAAATTGGAGCTATGAGTGATTGTAAGTATGGCTACCTTATTAAAAAGCCTAGTTAATTACCAAGTCCCATGATCCTTTAAGTAGACTCTAAACCCTAAACCCTTATATAAAGGGAACCCCAGTACATACCCTGAAAAAAGGAGCCCTAAACCCTAATTAGTCAATCAGTCCCATGGTCCTTTAAGTAATAAGGGACTTACGGAGGATTTGGCCTCGTATAGTATGTGGGCTGATCAAGCTTGCAGCCCCAAGAAGCTTCTACTCCTTTACAGCAAAAGCTCTAAGGGTTCATTTAGGGTTTAGGGGTTTAGGGTTTAGGGGTTTAGGGTTTTCGGGGTTTCGGTTCTTCGGGGTTTAGAAGTTTAGGGTTTACGGGTTTAGGGTCTCAACGTAAAGCTGGTACCTGGAATCGACCTGGAAGCTCTGAAGTCTTAGTCTTAAGCCCTGAACCCTCCAAGCCCAAAGATTCAGAATTAACCCTCAACCCTAAGGCCCTGAATGGATCCCTGTACACCTCAACGTCCACAAAAACCCTATATAACATAGGATCCTATTTCAACCCCAATACAAGTTCGAGTCGACCTAAAACCTAAACCCTAAACCCTGACCCAAAGCCTCCAAACCCCACTCCCCAAAACCATCAACTTCTAAACTCTTTAAACCCTACAGCCCTAAACCCCACAGTACCCTTATAGAAGCCCTTAGAAAGGACCCCTTAAGGCCTTAAGGTATAACGAAACCCCCCCCCAAAAAAAAAAAAAACGGCGCACTTTTCCAGGGCCCCCAGTCCTGCCCGGCCAATACCTCCGGCACAATGAACCAACCTCGGCTCGCGGCTTTCCTTTAAGGGCTCCTTTAAGGGTTCCTCAAAAGGTTCCTGGCTTTAGGGGCTCCGAAAAGGGCTCCTTTAAGGGATTCTGTAAAGGGCTCCTTGAGGGATCTGTTATAAGGGCTTAGGCTCTAGGGTTCCTTTAAAGGGCTCCTTTAAAGGGCTCTATTTTCATGGTCTCGGCTTCAGGTAGTAACCCTTATAGCATCCCTTAAAGGAGCCCTAAAAGGCTCCTTTTAACCTGTTCCTTTAAAGGGAACTCCAGAAAGTTGGAATATGGATTAATGGTAGGACCCCCTATAATTTACCTTAAAGGGGTTACGATAATGATAGTCCAACTTTCTGGCTTCTACTGTGAGGGGCGCTATGAGGGTTTAAGAGCTAAGAGCTTCGGGCTTTGAGGCTCCTTTAAAGGGTTCCTTTCAGGGCTCCTAGCGGTACTCGGGTTCCTTTAAGGGTTCCTTTCACGGCTCCTCTAAAGGCTTCCCTTATGGGGGGGGTTCTATAATAGCGATACTAGGGTTCCTTGAAGGGCGCCTTGAAAGGGTTCCTTTGAACGGTTTAGGGTTTAGGGTTTAGGGTTTAGGGTTTAGGGTTTAGGGTTTAGGGTTTAGGGTTTAGGGTTCCTTTGATCCAAGGGTAAAAGGAGGGACCCTTAATAAGGACCCCTACCCTATAATGGGCTATTTAATGGGTATATAATAGATATGCTAAGGGTATATACCTTGGGGTCCTTATTAAGGGTCCCTCTTTTTCCCCTTGGATTTAAGGCATACTATAAGAGTTTAGGGTTTAGGGATTTAGTGGTATGTAACCGAACGAAAAAAACGCGGGGACCAACCTTTTCGGGCCTTAGAGGCACCTGTGAAAGGCTTTCTCCAAAAACCTTTTTTGCTACAATTACCAATACCACTTCTCAGAGATCCTACTCCTCTTCTAGTATAAGTATACCCTAGTCAGTACCAGACTTCAATAAACTCCAATGGTTCCGGCCCTGTGCATGATCCTAGTGCGCGTTTACCGGTCCGAGTTAGCGTACCCTCGGGGCTCTCCAGGTTTGTACGGACCCAAAGCTCTGCCTTTGAAAAAAAATTCCTGATATAAGCCCATTAAAAGGTAGATTTTGTAGGTCCAGGTAAATCCTAAACCTATTCTTCCGTCTGGAGGGTTCAGGCCTGGTGGTTTGGAATCTGAGAGAATTATAGGGGCTCTAACCATTTTAATAGGGTTTTGAGGCATATGGGTGGTTGTCAAAATGTTGCTCCCTTTTGGGTCCCATGTTGAAGGACTGTGGATTGGGCCAAGGGTTAAAACCCTACATATCCCTACATCCTAAACCCGAAAACCCTTCCTAGACACCCCAACTACCCTTTGTTGTAGTCCCCACTTACCTCTTAACGAGAAATATAGCCCTTTGAAGGGTACTTGGGGGGGTGCTGATTAAGCCCCGGCATCTGCAGGAGCCGTGTTGAAGTCGGGGCCAAGTCCCTTGGTATGGTGAGTCTCTATCAAGAATGCGAAGAAAAATACGGGTTCCCTTTAACCTTACAAGGGGTCTATAAGGGCTACTATAAGGGCTATTATATGGGTTTAGTATGGGGCCCATTATAGTATAACTATAATAAGGAACCCCCAAAACTATAGACGCAACCAGTTAGGCCCCTATCGTACTTAGAAGCCGAAACTCTGAACCCTAGACTGAGGACAGCACACACATTGACTTGTCCCGGAAGTGAGAAAGCTGTCCACCCTTGCCATGTTTGACAAGCACACAGGCACAGGTGCAAACAAATCTTAAACCCAGAACACAACAGCCCAAAATGTGAACTTCAAAACCCCGCATTGCACCCGGAGCCCTAAAACCCTGCCCTGTGACTCCAAGCCCTGAACCCTCTCTAGACTCTAAGGACAAAACGCCGAAGCAATCCAACACAATGGTTACTCCATGACGAATAATTCTTGGGCTCTCCAGGAACCATACTTGTAGGATCATGGGACTTAGTAAGTACCTTAATTGGGGTTATAAGTAATTATAACTGTAGTTTTCTTAATAATGACCCCGACTAAGTCCCACGATCCTTTCCCCTGAACCCCTGAACCAGAAGAAGGCTAAGACGTAAACTTTGGTAGAAGACACAAAGTTGGAACATTAGTATCCTAAGGGATCCTAGCACTAATCCTCCTCAACCCATGTTCCAACTTTCTGGCTGCTGCTGTAATAAGATAAGTCTTGTGAAAGACCCAACTTGCACTGCTTCGCATCTGCGGTGTGTCGGTGTTTAGCATTCTTAATATAGGGACCTGAATAAGTAGAATAGGGTTCTGGGACCCATTATACCATAATTAGAATGAGGACCCCTCCAGAATGTTATAGGTTATTGTTGAGGCTCCTACTTAGGGGCCGAGTACCCTAGCCCAAAAAAGGTTAACCTTTTGAGCTATAGTAGGATCTATAAACCCCAGAAGGTTAAAGGTTACCTACTCAGCTACTAAGCCTATACATACTTCAAGAGGCTCGAGGACTCTAGGGTTTAGGAACCCACACAGATCGTGCTTTGGTAGTTGAAGCCGTCAACTCTGTTCGATGGTCTGGTATACTATACGATGGTTCTATAGGGATCATGAGGGAATCCTATCAACTCTAAACCCTAAACTCCTGCGTTACAAGACTCAAGGCTTTTCGAAAACTCTCGAGCTTAAAAGGAGGAGGTTTCAGTCAAAGGGGTCTGAGTGATTAGGATAATGGTTCCTTTGAAGGGTTGCGTCAAAGGGTTCTGAAAAGGTTTCTATAACAGGTGTATATGGGGGGGTTGAATGATTAGAGTGGGCGTTTGGACGAGTTTATAGTCGAATTAGTAACGTTCCCTCGTGAACGATGGTGAACGGCTATTCCGGCATCTGTGCTAGGTCCTAGTGCTTGCAGGTACATCCTCAAGCTTAATTCCCAAACGTGCCAGAAGTTACACCTAAACATGCAAGAGACAGAATGCTCATACCCTCTGGCAATGATCCCAAGATTTACCTGGGGATCCAAAAACCTACCGTTTTAAGGGTTCGACCATCTATTTAAGAGGTCATAACCTACTATTCTGTAGGGTTTGGGGATACAGGTAAACGCTGGACCCTAAACCCTAAACCCCTAGACCCTTAACCTGAAGTGTTGCAGGATGCAGTACAAGGCCCCGACAGCCGATCAAGCCTTCCGAGCGCTTAACAGTGGGCGCATGCATGATACCTTTACGATAAGGGAGTGTCCGAAAATTAGGGGTACCTTATTTGGGGGTCCATGTAATAAGGTTTCGGCAACTCCCATATGAACCTGAGCGCGAATATGAAAATGTATGTAAACTGCAGGTTTCACTCGCTTGCTTGCTCTCTCTCTCTCTCTCTCTCTCTCTCGCTCTCCCTCTCCATGGCCATGCCTGCATGTGCCGAAGCTTCTTAGTAATAACTGAGCTTCGATTTGCAATGGTTCTTCGCCTGCTTTGGCTCCAAGCCTCGCGCCTCCTCAACTCGAATCTTACTTCACGACAAACTCCAATCCTTTATCACTAGACACGGAGCAAGGCTGACGAATTAAGCCTATAAAATTTAGGGTTTGGGGCGTAGTAGTTCAGGGTTTAGGTTGAATGTGTTCTTTTGTTCTGGGTTTATTGCTTCGTCTTGCTCGAATTCCTCTACACCCTTCTCGGGCCATATAAAACTCTCCCACACAAACTTGAAAGCCAAACACTGCATGCATGCATGCATGCATGCATGCATGTAATGGCTACGTGCGTGTGTATGTATATATGTGTGTGTGTGTGTCTAAACATATGTATATATGTAAATATGAACATGCATATGCATGTCTATATGTAGATGTAGATGTAGACGGGTATAGCTATTGATAATTATGGACAGGGGTATATACACATATATATATATATATATATATACTTGGTAATTTAATTAGAAAAATCATAACCATGATAATAATGATAATACTAATAACAATACTCATAGTAAAAAATAATAATAATAATAATAATAATGATAATAACAATAATAATAATAACAATAATAATAACAACAACCAAGACCCTCCGAGTAACGGGTGTCACCCCCCTGTCTTGAAAGTAACGTATAGCATTGCTGGTATATTTCTAAGTCTGTAAAATAGGGGGTCTTCGGGCCGCAAGCTTGGTGGTCGCGACTTGTTTTTCTTCAGCTCATCTCGGAGAGTTGCAATCCAAAAGCAGCTACCAATCACCTGACACCGATTTACGATGCCAACGGGCCCCTACATATGATGAATAACGAGTGAGCACTTGTGCTCCCAAATTTGTTGGATGCGAAAGCGCCCCGAGCATCTTGATTCGACCGACCTTGGTCACACTGTTTCGCAGGAGGGCGTTGGGTAGCCGGTCATGCATGTCAAATGCTGCATAGTGGCCAAGTCTTCATCGCCATATGTACTGGTTCTCAAAGGTGATGTTACATAAATTTGCTCGTACACCAAGTGCTCCAACCTAGGATATAGAGTTTAGGGTTTGAGGTTCAGGGATACCAGAGATGCTTCAGAGGCTTAGAATTTGGCAGCGAACCGCAATGACTAAAATAGATTTCGTGCGGATGTGATGCCGTCTGCCTGCTGACGAGAGCGATCGCTGTGGAGCGACAGCTAGAGCTTTGGCTGTATATGCCCATGGGTGCATCCAAGTTGCGCATGCAGTTTCGGGCGCAGCTTCCATAGCAGCTTGCTCCGGCAATATGCATCATACGCACAAACTTAGATGGACTTCATGGGTTAGTCTTGAAGTCTTTCACGATACAAGGTTTGGAATCGAATCCGAGGCACAGTTGTAGCATGCCCGGAAGAGAATGTAGTGCGATTCCATCTTCTTGCACATATCTCCCGGGACGAAGAAGCGATGCCCCGAGATCGCATCTCGCATCCCGGCTAGATGGAAAAATACCCCAGCCACATTCCTAAGCTTCGTCAAAAAAGTGAGAATGTACTCAAACCTCCTGGGAGTTTCCCTGACCAGTTGAGTTTATACTAGGGTCACTCGTATTGAAATATAACTGTAAGGGATATAGGAAGGTCTGGGTTAAGCCAGCCGTTAAAAAAACTAGCCCGGCATACTCCAGCCCAATTACAACCAATAAGGTTGAGGATGCTGCATCGAGAACTTCATGGAGACGACTCTGAGCCACTTGACCATCACGATGGATTCCTCAGGTGAGCTGTCGTTGGTTTACACATACTGTTGCGAGGGGTGCCAGCCCTGCTCATGCAATATAAGGCCCTGTCGGCACCGCTCAGATGCTTCTGCGATAAAGTAGGGTAGACTCCGGGGGTTTGGGACTTCAAAGTCTTTGCAGAGAATGGAGGAGCTCGGTTTCCTTGGCTCTGCTCATGATGCTCACGTGAGACATGCGCCCATGAATGCTACGACCATCAGAATACACCGAGTAGCGGATCTTTTCGCTTTTGCATGCAGCAGCAAACTCGGTGTATGCGTTAGCGAGTCGCTCCTCTTGGTTTCTCCCTTGCCAAGGGCTGTCGGATGATCTCGTGAGCTCCAAGAGTGCCTCAGCTAGAGCATTTGGGATGGGCTGGGTTCTCAACCCTTTCCAAAAAAACAGATAAGCCCCAAGCAGATGCACAGGCATCCGGCGCGACCGCCAGATCGACGATGTGCAAGTAATCATCCCAAATGCGCTCCACTGCAAATCCCGGGATTGCTATCCAAGGGTTTGCCCCACACTTCCGGATAAACTCTGCCGTGGTATACTTCCTGGGCTGCGATGTCACAGGTATCGAGCACTAAGTTTATGTCTTGGGTATCGTACGTGCCATGAAGCCTGGCTACGTCGATCGGTGTTGCGCTGTGTGGCCGTAGTGTACATAACCTAAAGGAGAAGATCCGTCCTTCTCAGCCTGGGTCTGCAAGTTTGCATCCAATAATGGTTTATAAGCTTGCACGTAGGGAACTCGGACTATGGAGTGGAACCTAGTGCAAAGTCGGGACTGCGCAAGCTCGGCACATCTCCACACTCGTCCAATAGTTCTCGAACTTATAGCAAGCATGAATGTACTTCTGGTCGCCCTTGTGCCCAGCGAAAACGAAGCGAAAGTCTCCAGCAATGCGTGTGCCGGCTTTAGCATAAAGGGCCGGCATGTACTTGTCGTCGAATTTCCGGCCGTGCCAATCATGATCGAGATAAACCCCAGCTGCTGCACAAACTAAGCCCCAGCAGATCCAACAGTCAATTTCTGTGAGTGTCGTGTCTCCAGCGGTATCATTATCATAACAGCTCAACAACAACTTGTGGTCCCAAGTAGCTATTCCCGGCCCAGTCAATGCCGAGGCGACTGTGGAAATCGAGAAGGATCGCCTCTTGTGCAGCTCGGCGTCGTCGCCGTGAATCTCTAGCGGTATTACGAATCGCAGTTCATCGGGAGATAGGCGGTGCAACATAGGATGCTCACGGAACCATCTCGTGTGGCGGTTAGCCTCCCAGTAGCTGGACAAGCTCTTGTCGGGTTCAGGGCCAAGCAAAATCGCTTGGAACAGGTCGATGTCATAGCAATACAAAGTCTGCAACCTTGGGAAATATGGGCATCGCATACATGATCAACTGTTCGAATTAAGTGCACGCACGGGTGCCAATCCGGAATCAAGAAGATCGAATGTGACCCCACAAAGAAAGGATCTGCCCGCTTCCGATCTACCTTTGGTCAGGCGGAGTTTCAGCTAGAGCATTCACCGGTTGAACCGCAAGTGTTGAGAGCTAACATTTAAGAGAACTTGCATTGCCTGATTGACTTCGATCCTTGGTTGACAACGGCAGCGCGCAGTTGTAGTAGTGCCCCCGATCCCCATGACCGCTAGTTTAGGTTCTAAGGTTCGTAGTGGGCTGAGGCAGGGCTTTCATCCAGGGTTGGCGTCGTAGCCAGTTTCGAAAGTTCCGCTGAATGTTTTTCTCCTTGGCGGTTGCCTCCGCTAGGTCGATAAAGGCAGTCCTCAGACGGCAGTTTGGAACCAAATAGACAGTTCACTAGGATCCAAAGCAGAACCTATGTAGCAATCATTCAGCCCAAACCAGAAACAAAGGTTAAACATCAGCTGAAAGTCTCTAGGAAGAGCGGCGGGATCCGTTTGTGCACAGCATGCACAAAATTTCGGATTGTTTGCACTGAAAGTCTCCTAGAAAGCTCCAGGAACTCCTCCATCATCCCGTAAACCTCGTAGCGAGCATCCTGGCACATAGCAGCGAGTTCTGATCCAAGGCTGCAGCGCTGTGGGTGGCTACGCAGCTCTCGGGGCCTTGGTCTGCTTTGCAGAACTTGTGCCGGCTTGGCCGGCCATGGCTAGGGTGCAAAGAAAAGGTTCATAGGCGATCTGCACTAGCTATACTGGAACTGGGCATTATTCTGAGTAGGATACGTACACTATCAGGGTGAATACAGGGCTTCGGCTTAATTGAGCGGGGCGCTACAGCCGGGTTTTAGTCCTAATGATCTGGGTTGAGTTATAAACAACTTCACGCAGGTTCTGGTCTTGAATTTCAGGGCTTGGGGTTTCTCAGTTTTTACCTTTGCCTTTTGAGGGGTTTGTGCGACGATCCGATTTGTACAATCCCTCATCCTGCAGCACACAAAGGTGATTCTCGTGACATATCACTACACCGTAGGAGCTCGAAGCAAGCATGACAACAGTGCTGGATTCTACATCGTTGTTTCTCTCAGTGGTCGCGGCCAATGACGGGATCTAAGCCTTGATCTGGTCCCCATCAAAGCAGCCAGTCACCAGGCCGGGAACTAGAAATTGATATCACATGTGGAAGCATCCACTGGGAATTGTGCAGTCCCCCGACTCGCCGAGCACCTTCAATCAACTATTATAGTAGTTAGTGCGCAATGCACCCCGAAGCCTTAGAGGTTTGAGTCTACCCCAACTGCAGGGATAAGTTTACTCGGGATGGCGTCCTCAGAGCAGCACTTGCAACCGTGACCGCAAGGTTTAGGGGTCAAGGATTTCGGATTTATTTCGTTTCTAATATATGTATCAAGCACTTACAACACGGAGACCTGATTATGCGGTTTAGGGCTTTAGGGTTTAGGGTTCAGGGTTTTAGGGTTTAAGGCGGTGCTTTGATACTGCAACATCCCAGGATCCACGCGTGGACGACAGTGCCTCGATCTACGAG